TGTTTGAGGACTGAGATTCTTTGGTGCTAGAGCTACAATAATCCAAATGGCTATCTTAAAGCCCATAAAGTAGTATCAAACAAAGTTCTAACAGAAAACACAGATCAGATTTATATATTCAAGTTATTTTTGTCTACTTAAACACAAGGATAGGAGAAAGCAGTACATCATATTCAATTAGAATTACAGTGACTGCTTACTAATCTGTAGTTTAAAGACAGAGTTAGCTTCTAATACCAGAACCATTTAGGCTGAATTTGTAAGCAAGCATTTTAAGTTAAAGTAAAATTTCGAATTATTTGGCCCACACTGCATATCACTGGAGTAAACAGAGATAAAACAGGACCTTTTCCACGAAGAAAAGAGAGATTCTGAAAAGCAGTTGAGAGACTCTGAAAGCAGTTTGCCTTTTTTTTTTTTTTTTTTAAAGGCCCTATAAATGCATATATAACAAATAACTACAACTATGTCTTGACTAAACTTTTAAAGATTAAATTTGTACCAACAATTGTGAAAGATGGCTAATATTAGTACGACATTTTGGGCTGTGGGATCTGGAATAGTCATTTAGATTAATTATATGAAGTATGTCTGCCCACAATACGCACCAAAAGAAACGCGTAAGATTTCAGTTATTCCCCCGACACACAAAATTCCACAATTTTGCGTATTCTTTAAGTGTAGAACTATAACTGTTCATTACCCAACAATGAATATCCAAGAATTAACATTTTATACACTATTTTAAAATTGTTTTCCAATTGCACTAGTAATACTGTTAACTCATATACAATATTATAAAAGTGCTTCTTTTAGCAATCTGTACAATTTATTTAACATCTTACGAATCTTGACTAATTTGCAGTTTAAGCATTACTAAGAATGTGTTTTGATGCTTGGAACCTGAATTCTACACGTCTTGTTGATAAGTACATTACAACTGCCATTCAAAATTTTCTATCATAGAAAATACACATTATGAAAATATGAATTAAATAATTTTGCCCAATTACCTGAGAAATAACACAGCATGTGCCATTTTGTGTACCTGATTTCAAGATGCAGCTGATCATTGTATTTACCTTTCAAAAGTTGGTGTTTCTGTTTTTCCTTCAAATATACTAGGTCTTGAAATTTTCTGCAATAATTAATGATATTTCTTTTATTTTACATTCATGAGCAACTGATTACATTATAAAGTTGTAGAAATAATTTCACACTGACATTCCCACAAATCTGCTATGTAGCAGAGACTGAGCATGGATCTTAGCACAGATGTTTGCAGATAATATTCCAACTTAAAAAAAAAGAGGAACAAATCAAAACTTTAAAGCAACTCTTGTAGCCTTTTTCAGATACATAATTCCATTATGCCTTATTGAATAGGATGCAAACTAAGTCTGGACAGATTTTTATTGGGGGGGGGAGCGGAATCTGAACTAAACTTGTGTTTTGCTAGCAAAAAAAGGGCAAAAAAAGCAAAGGAAAAGCAAGAAAGACAAAGTTGAGGTGAGTAGATTTTTAAAGAATTACACAGTGTTTTAGTCCTGCAGACGCTGTTACATTAAGTATAAGGAAGGTTCTTAACAAAATGCTTGTCACAGAAGAAACTTTTGAGTCTCTATTAAAACTAACCCAATGAAATAACTTTTTAAACTCCTAAACAACATGAATAAAGGCAACTTTCCCCCTCATTTTTAGAACAGTAGAAAAGCAAACGACTGAAAACTGCCATTTGGAAACAGCCACACCAGTCTTCTAAAAGCATCTCCTATGCTACAGGGCATCTTGCCCATATAATCTTATCCTCATTTAGGAAACTAAGTGCCTAAGTGACGAAGTTAAGAAATTAAAGTTTTTTCTGTCTGAGTACAACTAAGTTAATTTTGGTTTTAGAACAGAAAAGGTCACTGCACACAAACATTTAAAATTATTTGTATTACAACCTCTTAAATATTTAAAACTGTGTAAACAATGTTACATACTTTTAGCATAGTACTTTTTTCCCCACAGAGGTGACATATTTTGTTTCCATGAGGCCAAATTATGCAACAATTATTTTAAAATTGTATGGTAAGGTTAAGCTTATTCTACATTCTAAAATAGCCTTTGCTATACTTCAATCATACTTTGGTATATTTCTGTCATACAAAACCCATACACATATGACCCATGCTAAGAAACACTTCCCAACTTAAAATTACTGCACCCTACCTCATTCCCTATCCACCATCTTCTGCCCTGGCTGACCATATCCCACCCCGGGAACTACCAGAAAAGAAAGATTTCCTGACTTAACCTCTCCGAGTTTTAAACACTGTGTTTTTAAACAATCCGATTCACCAGTTTATATTTTTGGTTCTTCAGCACCCAAGGGGTCTGTCCTTTGACCTCCTGCTGTGTATTTCAACAAACAGCCAAAATGTCAAGCATCAGGCTTCAGTGAAATAACAGGCATTCCATAGCACCTTGGAAAAAACAACCAGAGGTTTCACATGGCCCAGATCACACTGAATGGCAGTTCACTGTTCTGAAAGGTCTTGGTTCAGATGTCCTGTAAGCTCAGACAGCTAACTGTATTCTCCATCTTTTCCAATTGTAAGGGCTAGGTGTGTGTGGGTTGGGGTGTTTGATTGCTTTTGTTTGGGTTTGGGGGAGATGAGGCATTTTTTGTTTTATTTTTAAATGAAAGCCAGTATTATGGAACACAATTTTGTGGGTGAAAAAAATGCAAATTCCACATCTTCTACAATGCTGAAGCACACTATGGGATGAAAAAGAAATTAAGAACTACAAGAAAACACACCTGAAGTGGTAATGGAGTCTATGGAAAGAAAAGGTGTTACTGTGTATGTTTGGAATCTTGCATAATGCTACTGAATGAAGATGAACAGCCTTCTCACATTTCTACAAAATCATTGCTTCTCTTAAAAAACAACTCATCAACCCCTTTGCGTTTTGGAAAGTAGGCAAGCAGTGTACAAGAAAAATCTTTACTAGGTCTGAGGACTTCACCCACTCTCTTGCCAGCTGGGATTTCTGTGACAGATTGCCCTTTTTGAAGAGCAACAGAAAAACAACTTCTTACAGAAGAGAATTCTGTAAAATCAGAACCCAAAGATGGTATTTTTGAAAAAAAGTTATGATGATGTACTGTGAGATCATTTAGCTTCCTGACAGGCAGAAAATGGGAAAATTTGTACACATGCCTAGAAAAAAAAAGTCAGGCCTGAGAAGGCATTTCCAAAGGTTTTCCTCTCTAAAGAAGCACAAATAATAAAAAAAAAAACAACCTCAAAAAGTTACAGTTCTGAGTCAACATTTACTCAGATCTCAAGTTATATTTCCAGGTTTCCTGAAGATGAAGATACATAAGAGAAACTAAACCATTCCTTCATTGGAGCCTGGCGTACAAATCAACCAGAATGCACTGACTGCAAACTGGAAATATTGGGTGTGGCAGACATACTAAAGGTGTCCCTCCGACACGGCCATCTTTTTGTAGTAAAGCACAGAAAACTAGATTTTTGCAATATGCATATCTTTTGAACACCATGACCCAGTAATGTATGTATAGTTAAAAAAGAATTGTCTTGGACCTTCAAACTAGTTATGAAATTCAGAGATACTACACTGTGTGGGGAAAAGAAAAGACATTACCTCCAATTTAGCTTCTCTTTCTCTAATGAAGATTTCAGTCTTTAACCTAGTGGATAATGAATTAAGATTCAATGTTTTAAAAATACTGTATGGTTAAAATAGAGATAAGGATGAAGATACTTACTGTAAAGAAAGCAATTTGGTAATCTGAAATAAATTCTTAAAGTTGATACTTATTTTGAGCTTAAAGGTACTTCAGAGATCCAGAAGAGCATTTCAGAATCTTAAAATGTTTTAGTGGGTGTACAGAAATTATAAGATAAAGTTGTTTCATATAACCTGTCCCAGTTTTCTCAACTGGAAGGAACAGTCTTAAGTTAGCAATACTTTGATTCCAGCGCTTACTGCAATTCTACGTGAGAAATAATCTCCTTACCATAAAGGCCTTTTGAAACCATGACCTTAGTATTTAAGATCAGAAATGATAAATTTGCTGAAATGCACTTTCAAAAAGTGCATAAAGCTACATTATGACCCAACAAAAAGATTCTGCAAAACAAGCTCAGTTTTCTTTTAATTGTCTACCATAATCCACACACCCAGAACACAGCTGTAGTTTACCTTAGGGCAAGTGTAAAACATTACATCTGACCTCCAACTACTATTTGGAGGAGATACTTCCCTCAAAACACCTTCACAGGCACAGTCCGTACATTAGACAAACTACAAATTATTTAAATTTATTGACTTTTAAAACCGCATTAATTAAACAGCTTATCACAACATCACTAAAATTGATTTTCTGCTTTTATATAAGAAAATGCTATCACAGAGATAGTAAGAAGTGTGTCTCCTGCAAAACCTTGTAAGGTCATCAGTTCTAATATAAAATCTAACCTTTCAAAGGTTTCCTATAAAAAAACTGAACAAACCCCTCAAAATTGCTTATGCCTGTATCTTCTTTGTTGATGCTGCATTAAAGGCAAATTTAATCTGCTGAAGTATGGTGCTGCCTCTGTTTTATTTAAATAAAGTTATTAATCATAAGCTGTATGATTCACAACCTCCAAGTCTTAATGGCTGTCTACAAGGTACAAAATACTTGACAGAAGAAACAGCTTTATCAACTTACATTTTATGAAAAATGTATACTAATATTAGATTGATATCTACCATGTGTATTTTCCTAATTTAATCCAAGAAAGCAGTGCTAAAACCAGACCTTTTGAAGAATTTTAGCACATACTTTCAGCACACCATGAACACCTAATACTAATGTTCTAGCAGGTAATCAACAACTTTGACTGCAGTATAAACAACCATTTATAACTATTTTAATTATTACATCTTAATTTACAATAAAAGATGGCAAAAATAATAACAAAAAAAGGGTTGTTTTAAAATAACATTGCTATGATAGCACTGTAACAATGCTCATCTAATTAACAGTAAGAATAATGATCAGGGTAAATCAAATGACAACACATTTTTTGGGTCAGGGACTTGAAATACTCTGAAGTATTTAATCATGAGTAGCAACACCAGTAGAAGATGATGCGACACCAAATATTTAGCTTAGCTTCACTGCTTTAATGATTTCTATGCAAGAACTTAAGCCAGTATGTTGGAAATAGTAATTTGTCTAAAACCAGTCACTCTTGAAAGAGCAGAACAATTTAGACACAAGTAAATCAGAAAATGTATATCCAAGGACAAAAAATACTGTTATTCTTGTCTGAATAAATGTAAGTTTTGCCACCAAAATAAATGGGTATGAATTGGATCCAACATCTGTAGATCGTTTTAAATACATTATAAACATTATTTACATCATCAAACTCTAACAGATTTCTGTATCCATGCTTTATAGTTTATAAAACAGATTCAAACCGACTAGTTCATGATGGTTTGGAAGTAAACAGGGTTTATAAGATTTTGTGATAACCACATCTTTGTTAATAAGGTTTACCTTGGATTCCTGACATATATTCTCAAACCTTAATTCTGTTTAGGAATAGGTTTTAGAAAGTAGTTCCTTTAATTTGTAATTAGCAAAAGTTTCATAAATGGATACTAAACCACAGAAGATTATCACCTGGTGATGTTCCCAACACTTTCATGATACAAGAAATCTTAAATCCCATAGTTCTCAAGCAGTAACAAAGGCAATGTACTTTCTGTGGAGCTACAGTGCTTCTGGAAAGAACATTATGAAAATGAAACAAAGATCATGACCATTTCCAGTAAGTACAGCCTGCTGGTCTGCAATTTTGAGCAATTTTAAATCCTTCTAGAACTCTCCATAAATTCTTTATTCTACATAGAAATAAACTTCTAGTTAAGAACCATGAAAAAATGTCCCTTAATTGTCAATCCCTTAAAGAAACCGCCCCCAAAATGTAGCAGCTGAGCACAAAATTTCAGCTTGATTGAGATATTCAATATAATGTATTGGCCATAAAACCAAAGGGACTCAGAATAAAAGCCAGGTAAGAAAGAACATTAGACACCTTAGAGTCTAAATTCAGTTTGATGTGAAACTTTATTTGATACATGAGGAGTCACCTAGGACTAATGGAAGAGATTTGGAGTCAGTGAAACAAGTAGACTCTAAAATGTGCAGTCCAAGCACGGATAGGAGTATTCTCATTTCTGAAATCCATACAGTCTCATGACTTCCCCTGCTCTCACATAATAAATTATGTATATTTGCACACACTCACATGAGCTGAAATCATGAGCACCTGTCTTCCAGTGATCTGTCATGTTTTCTTACAACCAGAGAGTTACTCCCACAGCTTCTTTGGGTAAGCAGTACTGAAACTGAGCTGGCATCTTTGCCAAACAACCCCTTTTTGTCCACCCCTAACCAAAAGTAACCTTTTCTAGGATGACTGTAACTTCATTAATTTCTGGAAAACAACTTTATGTTATTTAAGTGGCTCGAGGTACCTTCCAGCCACTCAGCTGAACCATACCCAGCATTATAAATATAAATCTATTTAACAACGAGAAGAATGGAAAGGTTTTTTGGTTCGGTGTTTTTTTTTTTTTTTTTTTTTTTTTTAAGAACTCCAGTTTGTAACAGAAATTCCCCATTTTGAAAAATATAGCTCTAAGTAGAACCAACGATTCATAAAGCACAATTCTCCCCCAAATATCTGATTGTATAAGCATTTACTGGGAAGGTACATGTGAATGCAGTTTGAAGAAATAGCTGCTTCTATGCTGTGGTGTTTTACACTGTTAGCAACTGAATGGGAAAGGAAAGATGGTGACATTCACATTACTTTACACTGTCTCCAATTTCTCACCTGTAAAATGAGGTTAGCAATGAAGACAGCTACATAATGACTATTATAATGAGTAATGAAGTGTTATTGCACACAAAGCTGCAGTTACAAACATTTAACAGAATAACAGAAACATTTACTTTCTTGTCAGAAAGACTTTCAAAGCAAAGGTAATATAGAATTTGCTAATCAAGCAAGGTTGCCCTACAACTACGTGTCTTAAGAACCCATAATGCAGTGACACTCAACATCCTAAAAATAACAAAAAAAGAGACAGGTTAAGGTACACACAAATTAAGTATTAGTTCTTTGACCATAAGCTAAACTGGTTATACCATGCTTATTCGTGCTCTGTCCTTGCAGATGTGGTCCAGTATGTTGCATTATTGATGTAACTCGGTAGCTGTTGGGACCACCAGGGACATTAATATTGAGTCAGACAGGTTTACTTGCATGGTTTAGGGCTGGTTTTATGTTATGAGTTTTCCACATGAGTAACTTTTCTGAGATCCTCACACACACGGAAACAGGATGCCACAATGCCAATTGTTTCTATGTGAACTATTTATACAAAGCTGGCAAATCTGAATGCAGCTTACAAGTGTTTTAACTACAAGTCTGAAACTTAAAAAATTTCTGTAGCAAAGTTGTAAAAGAACCAAATTACAACATTCCAAATGAGCATTCAAAAGAGGTATAATTCACATAACTTCAAAATGAAGTGTCAATCTAGTGTAATTTCTGGGAAATTCTTAGAGAACATTTCTGAAAGCCACGAAAATCTGCAATCATATTCCAGTTTTGTTGTTGCCGGAAACCTGAATGAAAGTGAAATATCACAGATTCAACTTCCTCTGAAATGCAACAGCACGTTCACAATGAAAACACAAATCCACTATGCTTTTTTGAATGCTGCTGTGTCAAAACAGAAATAAGTCCTGCAAGAAAAACCTGTAGTAGATAACTGATGCTTGAAGTTGAACAGCAGCATTCAAGATGGAACATAGCCTCTGTCAGAAGAAAAAAAAAAGTAGCAAAAAGAACAAGACTTTAGAGTACTGAGTAAGCGTGCAGATGCTCAATCACAAAATATGCATAAGAGACAATGGATGACAGGATCCTTGCTATTATTAGCAATACCACAGTGGTTGCAGAAGCTTGCTATCACCAAAACTGTTACTGTTTGAATACTAAAAGTGAAGAGGACAAAAATACTCGTAAAAATGGATTAATCTCAGATAATTTGATTATGCAGAAAAAGAAAGTGCTGCAAATCAAGAACAGCTTGCATTCATCAGAAATAATGTCTTATAACAAGGAGGTTACAACAGTGACTGATCTCAGAGTAAGATTAGCTCTATCTATAAAGCTACTTGGAAGCTAGTAAATTAGAGATTCAACCAAGACACATATCCACTGTAAGCACGAGGTTGAGTTCGGAGGAACACTAGATGTTCATCGTGACAAAAGGAAAGCTCATCGTATATCCAGACAACCTGTTGATGGATAAACTTGCCATAGATAATCTAGAACTAAAGATGAAGTCAGAAGCAGTGAAATCAAAAGCAGCAGATGTCTCAGCAGCTTGAGTAGAGCATCCTTGAAGATGAGAGATGATACCAAAAGAACAAGGTGTGAATGAACTGTGGCTGCTCCACCCTCAGAATCAGGGCTCAATAAATGTATCTGCTTCCATCACATGCTTTCCTCCTACAGTATTTAGGAGCAAAAAGAAGCTTAGCTACCAGAGCAAAGCAGCTAATAAATTCCTCTGGCCAAGATTCAGTTTATGCAGTTACATGCGACAGAAGTCATTCAAAGCATATTTTGCCACTATATACTGTAAAGTCATTGGCAGACAAAAATGCAACTTACTTGAATATTAAATAGATCAGGACTTGTATGTTTTAGTGAACACCCAAAGAGAATGACAAAGCCCTTTAGTTTCAGAAGCTAGGACTGAGTTCAGAACAAAATGGGCTTTGATGTCAACACATAACATGTCATCATTTATACACTACTCTAGTGTGGGATGATACCGATAGACTGGAGCAGCAAAGAAACACTGCAAATGAGCAGCAAAGAAACACTGCATCACATAAGTGAAACTCCTGGTAAGCTTCTCTTCAAAGGAGTACAGCCCCCAAAAAGCTTGAAGTCAATGCTGCAAAGCAGAGAACATTATCACAGAAGGGCCTTTGCCAGACTACAATATTGGTAGAAAAGACCAGACCTGCTGCCTAAAAGATGCAAGAAGAGAATACCACAGCTTCAATATATGAAGAAAAAGGAAAAGCTCTGGTCAGATCCTTGTTCGCTTACATACCAAAATAATCCCAAGCTGGACTGGGTTCAATTTTCTGGTCCACAATGATGTATCAGTGAGCCAAGGCAGTATAGGATACCTGCTCACTTTCAACTCCCCTGCAACAAAAATGTCTGCTGTCAGTTCATTTAAAAATATGTTAATTGTTGCGCAAAGCAGAGAGTTGAGCATTAGAAGAATACTGGCATAGTTACTAAGCCTTATTCCCTCAGCACAAGGTGGATCACTAAACAAACAAGGCAACTTTATGTAGAGTAACAATTTAAAAAGCAATTTCTGCTGGAACACCTCCAGCTAGGTTATCTGTATTACTTATGGCAGGATTCTGGTCCAAAGACAGTCTCATCAACACTACGGAGAACTCCTAGAACATGTCTGGTCATTAGCAATAAAGATGAGTTTTACAATACATACAGTCAGTCTGATATATAATAAAAGACACCAAAAGATACCATCTGAAAGATGCAAGAGAAGATCCAAAAGCGTTCAAGATTGTAACTGTGAGTCATTGTTTCCAACGATGAAGTGATTCTGAAGAGCCCCATAAACAAGTCATACCTCATTGAATTATAGGTCAAAGAATGGGAAGAAACATTCATAGGTCATTGAGAAATTACACAGCAAAAGTTATGAATACTGTCTGCAAGTTCCTCTTCCTCCAAAGCAAACCACAGAAGAACCATCCCGCAAAAAGATGAACATTTTTATGTGTACTCTGTACTGCAAATAATGAATTAAAAAAAAAAAATCTGCTGAACAGGTACACTTATGCTCTTAGATTTAGCAATGATATACTCTTGTCCAAAGTATCAGAGAATTAGTATATGGAACAGGACAAGATTTACTGAAATTAGTGAAGTCTATGAGCATGGCAGTTCCAAAAAGCACCATCACAGATTCTATCACCTCATGCAGTACCAGTAACTAAACCTATGCAAACATCTGAACTTTCAAAAGTAATGGCTATCTGCATCTGTCCTAATCTAACAGTTTACAAAAACAAACCTGCACATATTCTTGACTACTTCGAATCTGTTCAGCACTCACCCATCTGTTTCTGAGCAATACATACATTGTATATCCAACATTCTCAAATATTTTCATATGACATCTTTGTAATATATTCAAGACAGGTAGATCCTTGTGCAGTACTGACAACAGGCTGTCACAACTGTACACCTCTTTCCCCACCATTCAATACATCTACGACCTTTCCTTACGTAGAGTTCAGCAAGTATTAATTCCCAACACCTAATGCCAGCTCCAAACAGAAAAGCTAATGTCATATCACAGCTCAACACTTTATTTTTCCATTGTTTGAGTTTCACTGAAATCTAACTGTTGAAGGACACAAGATACCCTGGATTAATGAGGGGATTATAGTTGGCCCTCCTAGATGACTCTTCCCAGTGTTTTGTCCAATTACAATACTCCGTGGTCCACAATCTTTTTCAAATGGCTTTTTGGAATACTTTCCCAAATTAACTTCCTTCCCCAGTTCATTCCTGCCAGAATATCTTCAGTTCTTTTTAATAACGTCTATTAGTCACCCCATCAGACCATCAGTTTTATTCAACTGCGTCACATGCTAAACATTTACAAGTAAAGGTTTGAAGTTTATAGCATATATTTTGCTCTACTAATACTCGTAGCCAAAGATAAGTATTTCCATGTTTGGATTAGATGACAGATTATTCCAGTATCCCCTCTTACTGGCCACTTTATGGAAACTAAGAAAGAAAATACTTAGTTATGAAATAACCTGTTGGGGATCTTTCCAACACTCACTGAAGGCTGATTTATGCTTAGAGGACTACGAAGTTCTTGCTCTGTTGGAAGAGTTCTCATCACGCATGAGAATATGTAATCCCTTTTAGAATCCTGCTACAGGCTAGATGGACTCAATGACACCTTGTTGTTAAATCAGGGTAAAACTATTTTCTTCCGTCTTTTAAAATATCTTTCTTTGCAGTCTAATTGACATTTTTGTTCCTGTCTTCTGAAACGGTTTAGAGAGGAGAAAAATGTTTGACTCAACTGACACACCTCTGAACCTTCAATTAAAGCATAAATAGGCTCACAAGCTACATTGTAAAGCCTCAGGTACTGTTCCAGGATAATTGGGGATGGCTTGGCACGTCTGATTCTTCTAAGGTTAAAAAAACCCCAAGCAAACCTTGCAACACAATCTCCACAATACTGCATGGTCTTTTTCAAGTCCTTAAAAAAAAAAAATGAAAGCCCAAATCCTCATATTAATTTTTCTTCTAAAGTCAGAAACAAAAAGTTAATACAAAACAGTATACCTTTGTCATATAAATAACATCATTTTGAAAATAATTTGTAAATATTTATAAAATATTAAGACTGAATTTGTCCTACTTCAATAAAGGTAATGTTTTTAAAATTTGTATTAACATTACATAAAGAATATAACCCATTCATTCAATAAAGCTAGTATTAAAACCAAGTTGAAGTAACTTTCACTATTTCTAGACTTAGAAGTCAGGATTGAGAAGTTCTAATATTGCAAGAATTATTTTTATCTCTCTGGCCAAACTGAAAAAAAAACTGGGTTTGATTTTGGCTGCAGTAGGTCATCATTTTATCTCCCCAGTCTTGTAACTGTGGACGTGGTAAGAGCAAAAAGCACTAGCAAAGTAAGGGTCTATGTTTACCCATACATTTAAAATTCTATGAAATTCAAAATAAAACCAAGTTCAAAGTGCAAATTTTGGCCATCTGTCACTAAACTAATACAAATAAACATGGAGCAGTAAAACAAAACTTACTCAGATACTTGTTCAGCAGTTGGGATATCTACAGAAACTGAAAATAAAAATAAAGTATTTCATTAAAAATATTTTGAAATGTGGAAATACAATAGTACTCACTGTCAAATCTAAGTACACAGAAATAATGATAAAGCAACTGAAAAAAAGGACTGCAATAACACAGACACATCCACATTTAAGTATTTATAGATGAATACTATATATAAAAGTAACTATAGTTACTCACCTTTCTCTATAATAACTTGACAAGTATGAGTGTGGCTTTCACTCAGATGTGTGGCCATGCTATCTAAGCCAGAAACGTCAGTCAAGAAATCACAGTTAAGACATACTACAGTCACACCTCTAGAGAAGAGAAAGTAAAAAAGAAGTATAAATACAACATAGTTGTGAAAACGGTTTTCTGAACTTACAGCAATTGGACAGACTATAAAAAAAGAATCTGCAACTTTAGATGACTCACAAAAACATATTCTTACTTTTTATACTGCAGCTAGCACCTGGAAATCCCAGTCAATGACCAGGGCATCTCCATGCTGGATGCAGTACAAAGAACACCCCTTTAGACAGAAATTTATCTGTAAAGCATGGGTTTCTCAGTTTTGGTGGTTTGCTTGTTTTTTCTTTCCATCCCCACTCCCCATTTTGCACATTATGAATAATTGGAAAATAAAGAAATAGAAATATTTTTAAAAACTGCTCAGAGTTAATTAAGAAGTTAATAAATGTAGACAAATAACAAATATTTGTCACTAGAACAGCACACTGCTAGTGGAAGAGCTAATGTTTTTATTTCCCTGCTCTTTCAAAATTGTGGAAGCCTAGGATTTCAAGAGGCACTGATCTCCTTTAACTAATCAGTTTACTATCAGAAAGTAAAAACATAATGATCTGTAACTGAAAAAAGCTGAATTACCGTAGCTCTTCTGAATGCTTCTTATAGATCCAAAATCTTTTACTTGGACGAGCACTGTGAAAACTAAAAATAAGAAAATATTACCACTTAGACTGGTTTTCTTGAGTACATTACTCCACATATCCTCTACACTGTACATGGTTCTGCAATTTGCTTATGACAGGGCATGAAAATAGAAGGCTCAATTACTGACCTGCATTATTCTAAAACATTAAATTGTTGAAAGCTTACACGCTCATGAATCTCAGCTCTAGTTTAAAACACTGGCTCTCTTGTAAATAACGAGTTTGGGAGGGGCAAGCCTGAACTTTGTTGGCACAGTCCTGCAAGACTGTCACATTGCTTCCATCAACATTTTTGCTCTTGAAGCACCATGGCTGTAGCCATCTATACAGTGCTCCACAAAAGTAGTGAAGCTTTGCTGACCTCATCCAGAGATGGCTGTGAATGAGATAAATCACATTTTCAGATGACCCATAAGTTAACTCATGCAGCTTAACTATGTGCCAACATTGTACTCCCATATGAAACAAAAAAGCAAGCAGGGGCTGCTACTGCAGATACACACTCCCTCTAACAGCCTTCCTCCTCACTATCCGTTCTTCCATATGTTCTCCAAAAAAGGTGATGATAGGTGCTGTAAGGGGTCAAAGTAGAGGGAACATTACTGCATCAAGGAGACAAAGGGCAAAAGACTGGCTATTTTTCTGCATGGCTGAATTTGACAACACCCAGAACATGGGCAACAGTAGGAACAGTTTACTTTAGACTGCCCTCTCCCCTTCTGGATTTGTACTTTCTCTTGTACAATCAGAATTAAGCACTTAATTTTTATTATTCCTTTAGGCATGCAACGTATGTAAACTATTTCAGCCTAGGACTTACATGGGCATTGAAATTAATATGAATAGGTCAACACATAAAATATATACAAAAACTTTTAAACACTTGGGTCATAAATTCAAGAATTCTAGCATTCAAAAATGCCAAGGCATTTTATACGTACATGTATTTTAAAAGACAATTGCATTCTATATTTTTCTGCAACACATTTGGCTTGCTCGGGGCATAGGATTAACAAGTAGGTTTTCAAAATTCTGTTTTGCTGTCACTGCTATATGATCTATGTCTATTTATAGCATAGTATAATTCTATCGCTCTGAAAACTAATGCGTTTGTTTTCCTAACAGGCTTTTTTGTAGCTGTCATCACTAATTCTCTACACTGCCTCACAATCAGTGGCAAACCTCCTGCAAAATGAGATGTTATTTTTACGGATGACCAGAAGTAGTATAATAAAAACTATCCACTTGAGTATGCCATTTGAGACATCCTTTATATGGTATTCTGAGCACAAATTTCATTAGCAATAGCTGTGGCTGTATGCATTCAGCACTTGTAAAATCAGATGAGGTATTTAATCTAAAACCCAGAGAACACGCAACAATTAGTCATTACTTGTTAAGTCTGGCTGAAATAATTATGGGAGATCCCATCGAAACTCTGAAGCAAAGACAGAACACTGCCTGAACCACTGGGTTTTTAAGGCAAAGCAAGAACTTAGGCCCTCATTACGAAGTAAAAATCCCTGCCAGTCCTATGACCCAGCTCAAAATTCAGCTAATAGAAATACTTAATACACCTTATATGAATTTAAGAAGTATTTGAAAACCCAATAAAAATTTTGATGAGTTCTTACCTCATCATGTGATTCACATAGGCTTTGCTACAGCTAGTGTTGTATCTGCATAAACTACAGTGGACATAAGCAGGAAAATGGCTTGCAAAATCTTTTATTTCCGAGTAACACTCAATGCATTTGTGAGCTCCCAAACGATACCTAACAGTAATACGAACAAGTTAATAGTTAATAACAACACTTTAAGATGAGACAACTATTTCAAACTTTTTGCTTTAAGTCCAGTAGCAAGCTTGCGTATGTTAAGGAAAAAATGAGGAACGAACTTAAAAATGTACAAGTTAAATACTTATTACAGGTTATGTTACCATGCATGAAGAGAACTCTGGTTTTTTCCTTGAATTATACTTTCACTAAGACTTTAACAGGAAAGTGAAAGTTAATGTAAGCTTCTCTTGGCCACTTCTGGAAACAAGATACAGCAGTAGATGAGACCCTCCAACTTCAGTTGCTGCTGCTGTCTCTATGCTGAGAAGGATTTCAAAGAAATGCTTCATCCACCACAATGCACAGAAAACTACTTTGGTTTTTCCTGTCACCCCTGATATTTCCCACAAGCTCTGAAATATCTACAAAGCAAGAATGTAATCCTGCTCTTCCCCAATTTTGCTAGTAGTTTTTGGATGTCTTGGAGAGCTACACACTGTGAGTGTTAGCATTTTATTGGAAGGGAGACGTCTACAATCTTTGACAAAGAAAACTGCTAACTCATCTTAGCCAATGAAATTATATTCTAGTCCATAAAACACCCATTAAATTATTAATATAAGGATAGCAAAACCCAGTAAATTGTAAATATAAGGACAGCATTCTCCCAATAGCTTGCTTTTACTTTATTGATTTTTTTTTAAGGTATCTCATACGACAGATAAGACTTAAACCTTTTAAATAACGGGTTCAAATAAAACCCTTAAAAACATTGAAGGAAGAAAATACTTTTCCCTCCGTAAGACGACTTGCAAAGAACACCCAGGCAGATGTATTCCCCTCCACAGGTCACTTTCAAAAATAAATCTGCCTAATGAGTCAGTATTTCAAGAGTCTGTGGCTCTATGCAGAGACAAATTCTAAATTTAGAACAGAAAAATTTCCAGAACATCTGTTCTTCCCTCATAAAGTAGTCTATAACCAACAAAATTGGTCACTGAAGATTCAGATTATAATCACAGTACCAGTATGTGGAAAGTTTATGTGCCTGCTTTTTCTGCAAAACTGAAGTGTCAAATCTTCTGTACTGCAGTATTAGAAGTTATTGAAAGACAATTAAATGATCAGTTATTTATATTTGAAGTACACTTAAAGATATTTTTAATGCTAATATTTTACCTTAGATTATGCAAAGCTGTATTTGTAACTTCTTTTTTTTTTTTGCTGTTGGTCCATGCATTTTGCCTCTTCGATGTAGTTGGTTTTGATTTTGCTTTTGACTTACTTGTATTAGATTTGTTATGATTTTTAGTGGTTGTATTTTTAGCTTTAGGTGATAACTGAAATGTGGAAGTGCTTGTACTAACAGAAGATGTAGCTGATGATCCTGATTGAAGAGATCCAACAGATGCTCGAATAGTCACCTATAAGTATGAAATTAAAAATTTTTCTGTTTAGATTTAAGCTTTCTAAGTTCCCATCCCTATTTGTCTCAAAGTTTAAGCCACTTCAGGACAAAAATCATAGCATAAGAAACACTCCTCAGTAAAGACTGCTGTAAAAAATATGAAATACTGTTGACTAGAGTAAACCTAACCTCAACAAGTCTATTGGATGCTTTAAAAGCTCTTGTTTTGGTGGAAATGGTTAGCCATGACAAAACACTACTCTCTTTTCAGACCTGCAACTGGCTACATCCTGCTTTCTTAAAACAAACAAACAAAAAGGTAACTGTGGAAAAGAAACAGAAAGGCCAGACCAATTAGCTGTAGCTGAAAACTGAACAATCCCATCAGTGCCTGGACTTAACAAAAGCTCTGTGTCTTGGTGCCTCATGGTTAGCCAGTCTATTTTCTTCAGATATTTTTTTCTCCTCATCCTAGACCACCAAGGACTAATTCTTGTTTCTGACTTCTCATCTGGCATTATCACACACCCTTGTCTCACCCTTAAGTTTGGTTCTCCAGTTTTCACTCGCAGCATGACTCCTAATTATACTTCTTACCCATGGTCATAGTTTAGAAGCAGTTAACCATCTAAAACTGGTTCCAAGCTCTTCAGTCTCATCATCTACATCTTGTCAAGGTCTACTAACACCAAAATTTTAACATAATCTAAGCCTTTATTAGATCATGGAGACCCTTAAATCTTTAGAAAATTGAGGTATTGTCACAGACTAGAGAATCAGTGCTTTACATTCTGCCAAGCAACACAATCAAAATCAGCTTCAGCCATTTTCCCTTCCTGATTCTACAGCAAATGAACTGTGAAGAGCTGATAAAAAAGTTAATTTTCTTCCCCCTTTCAACTGAAAGGACACACAACTTCACACTTCATTAAAAAACTGTAGAAAAAGAGTCCTGAAATCTACAGGAAAACCCTAGTCTAAGTGGTCCCTTCTCTGAGAAGTGGAAGAATGATTTAAAGATAGCTAGCCTAAGTGTTCTGAGGGGACCCAAGTTTACTTCATAAAACACTTAGCAGAAAACTCTGTTGGTTTTTTTTCCACTTTCAAATGCTAGAGCTAAAAAAGACCTCATAAACTCAGTTTTACACACATATTGTCTATGGAGGAGAAGGTCTTTTACTCTATATGATTTTTTTTTGACACCACCTTCCACAGGTTTAAAAGTTTTCACATGAAATAATACAAACCTCTATTTCCTTTTCTCCTAGCACAAGATAAGATGAATGGGAGATGGCAAATTAACCAATAGCTCAAGAAAGCAGTAGCACTGACTGGACTACTTGCCCATACATGTATGGAAGAATAGGACAGAAAACAATACCACAGATCACCAGGAAGAAACCATGAACTGTGCCTGGCAATTCTTGCAACAGGAGTATTTTTCAGAGTTTTAGTTTTAGAGGTGGCAAAGAAAAACCAACCCAACAACTTTGTTTTGGAAAAGAAAGGAGAAAAGCACTTCTTTCTATTCCACCCCTTTCTCTACCAGTGCATTTTTTTTCCTTTGTCCTCTCTAATTTTCCTGCATGAACATTTACCTTTGTTCCAGGAGGCAATCCTTCTAACTGTTTGGGTTTCCTAAATGTTCGGTGATGCTGAGTCTTGTGATCCATTTTTTCTTTGCAAGTCAAAAATTGCAGCCTGCACTTAGTGCAACGGTATATTCCTTTTTTCTTTTAAAAATAGAAGACAATCTAGAGTAAGCATGAATGTCATGATAAACAAAACTCTAACCCTAGTTTGTCTCAAGCAATGGTCATTGAGTTTCTAAAACATCAACTGGACAAATGCCTGATATTGTACAAAGCCAAGATACTGTGTAGGAATTAAAGATGATATTCACATACTTGAAAATGCAAGGCAGTATTATTACCAAAGAGGAGGAGGAATCAGGTTACCAGTTACAAGAATACGCAATACTTAACCTTTTTCTCTACTTGAACATGAAAAGTTTGCTAGTAAGCTCAAGAAAAGCAGAACACATCACTACAACTTAATAAAGAAACCAAATAGCAGAGATATTCTTTCAAGGATATTCAGAGATTTTTTTAAACAGGGAGCTGCTGTCACACAAAAACATGACAAATTCTAAGAACTCCCTTAAAGACTTTTCAAAAGATGCAGTTGTAATTCTTCTACCATATTTTATTAACCATTCTTACCCAGTAACAATCACACAAGACATGTTTTTTTTTTTCCAGAGAGAGATTGGTAACATTTATTTATCATTTTTCTAGCATTAAGGATTGAAAATATCTGCTTACCTGGTGCCTCATGTAGTGATGCATATACGGTGCTCCAATTTTTATTACTTTGAGGCAAAATGGGCATAGCAAATGTTTTGTATTTTCATGAACTGTTCTAAAATGTGTTTCTACATCTGAAAAAGCTGAGGATCTGTAGTTGCATACCTAAACCAAAAAGGTTGACTTTCTTGTTAAAAGTTTACTAACAGTAAAGATGGGGAGGGGTGTAATCTAAATACAAAACAGTCACAGTGAGATACCTGGCAAACATACGGCATTTCACCTGGCTTATGATTGTCCTTCATATGTTGCAAAAGAACTTGCTCTGTTTCAAAGGATAATTCACAGATTTTACAAATCGCTAGAAAAAGTGAAAAACAAGAAAAAAGTAAAAATTTGTTTGGTGTCATAAGTAGATAAATTGTAATACATACGTATATGTGAACTGTATAAATCTAGAAAGGTAAAGCAATCTAACAATTAACCTACTCTTCAGAAGAAATTCACTGTACAATTTCAAGAAGCCAGGAGCACAAGACCCTTAAACAACACGAATTCTTGCAGTCAAGCTTTCAATTAAAAAAACAAAACAAAAAGCTTTTTAAAATGCGGGTTTTTTTTTTCTACACACATTGCTCTAACATAAATTGAACGAGTGCTCAGCTCCTACATTAAATCCCAGGATTATTAAAGTACAATAGCTTTATTCTAAAGTTACAAACCAGCAAAGTCAGAAAATATCTAAAAATTCTAGGTCACAGAAAGATTTTGTGTGATACAATCCAACTTACTAGATGACTCATAAGGCGTGTGTGTACTTTCAATGTGGCACTGCAGCTGGAATGGGGTGGGAAACTGACGGTAACAGTGCTGACAGGTGGTATGGCTTTCCCAACTTTCACTGCTCTGCTTCTCAAGCTCCAAGTGATGTTTCATGTGGTTCATAAACCTATGAACAGGTGCAAAAACCTACATTTTGACATTCACTATACATGACATAGCTCATGCAAGATGTACAGGATTCTTGAGAAACTTTAAGTTTAAAGAAAATAACAAAAGGCTAAGTTAAGTAAGGTGACTACACCAGAAATCATCTTTCAAAGCTTAAAAAGAAATCTTGACTATTATATAAGGAACACGCAACGTATCTGAAACATGTTCTAAGACTAAGCAATCTATTATATTTTTCATGTATGCTTAGACAAAATTCTTGGCCTGAAATAAAGGGAAATTAGCAAAGACAACAACAAAACATGTCAGCTGTTTACACTTCGCCACCACCAGTCTCAAAGCCACATTCTGTGGCAAATATAAATTTAGCTCTGCTGAAAACCAAGTATCAAGAAAATACCTGCAATTAGGACATTATAGGTTTTTCTGAAACCACCTCCATTCAAAACCGGCAGGGTTCCAGGACCTTTCTTTGTATAAAGTATTTAGGGCTGAAGTTGAGTTATGATGGACAGTTATCAAAGAATGCCACTGTGCAGCTGACAATCAAACAAGCATGATAAACTTGGTGATAAGTTTACTACTTCAAGTTACCACTTTTTTCTCATTAACACGTGCACCTATCTAAGAACCTATTCTGGCTGAGAAGTCTAAGCACCCATGGCAACATTAGCAGGCGTGGAGCAGCACAAGGACAGGTTAATTGCACAACCCACTACACAAACTTCAAAAACTGTTCCATCCTAAGTGTGCTTCATTTCAGTACAGCCAGAGGAACTATTAAATGCAGGTCTCGCTCATAAAAGGAATGTAGTTCTCAAAGTGGTGACCTTGGAATTGGAAAAAACAAACGAGCAAGGAGAATAGTCACTTAAGATTGAAACTTCTATCATCATGCAGTTGCTTAAAAAAAAAAGAAAAGAAAAGCTAACTGAAGATATCCAGCTACGTAAGCAGAAGAAAGGAAATGACCCTGGTACTGCATACTACCTTAACAGAACATTATTTCATAGATCTTTTAAAGGAAGCAGGGGATTACCCTGATGAATCACTTTGCACTTTTTTGTCCACTATAAATGGTTAAAGGTGTAAAACAGACCTTGGAATAACAACTCTGAAGTTACAGAACTATGGAATACAGCTACAAAGTTAGAGCAAAAATGAACATGACTGAAAGTTGACTCTAGAAAAATTCAAAGAAAAAATTAAGTGCTCATTTTTAATGACTTGCTGTGGAACACATAGGCACCATAGCACCGATAGCTTACAATGTAATGCCAAGTAGAAAACAGTGCCTGAAAAGTGTTTCTTTAAAATGAACCCAGTATCTTAATAAATTATTAAGTGAACTACTTTCCATGATATTGCAATAAAGACTTATTTGAAAAGTATTCTGCATACAAAACCAGAAGAAAAACCTCTTGGCCCGTATCGAACATTGTTTACTGCCCTCGAAAAGATAAATTGCAAGGGAAAAAATGCCATAATAAACAGCAACAATAAAATTATGAGAGTAAACTTTTTTAAAATTTAACAACATACAACATTTTCAAGCTGCTTAAGACAAATTGCTGGCACTTTCACTCAGGATTTACAGATAATGATTAATAGCAAATTTAATGTTTCTAATTACATTAAACTCTAGTTTTGTTCAATAATACAGGTCTAGTGTTAGCATAAACCTGTTAATTTTAACTTGCAGTCTGTGCCCGTTGAAGGAACAGTCCATTTTTCAGTTTCACATTCTGCTGCTTCAGCTCCCCTTGAAGAATGCATGTAAAAAAGTTCAATGACCTTAACTTCCAAAGGAACAATGACACGAACTCATCTACCTATTAAAACAGCTTACTGAAGTTTTTTTTGCAGCATTTGGAAGTAAAACTATTCCATTAAAATAATGGATGTTACATAAGTAAAGCACCAACTATTAGTCATTGTGCATCCCTAAAGGGAATTAACACTCGCATCTACTGATACCACCATCAATCTGGATGGCAAATTGTAAAATACTTTCTGTTGCCCTTTCTAACCCCAAAGTCCTACAACTGGTCTCATTAAAACTCTACACCATTAAAATTTGTACTCTAATCTGTAGAAGTTTATGTTATGGCCATACATGCTCAGTAAAAATTAATTCAATTTCTCTCTTCAGTCACCAAATATCAGTTTTCAGTAAGAAAAAATTTTTATTCCAGAGAGACAAATTTCTAATGCATGCGACTAAGTGCTATAGACTGTAAGTGATTAACAAACAATTAAGGAAGCGAGTTCAAATACCTTATGTTATTTTTAAGAACCTTCAGACAACTGAAGCACTTAAATGTCGTATGAGTCTTCTGCTCCTGTTGCACCTGCTGGGTGTCACCTTCATGTTTCCCATAATAAAAGTCATTAACTAACATAATCAATTTTCCTTTCTCAGATTCAGCAGTCTTGCTTGTTGTGCTCGAACACTCTGATTTGGCCACTCCCAGGAAAAAGTTATTTACCATATCTGGACAACAATACTGGATGGAAAGGGGGAGGAGAAGAGAGACAGACACAAAGGTATCAACCTCTCTTACCAAACTGCATTGATAACAACAGCATTTTAAAAACTGAAGGCACTCACTAACTAGAGTTAGATGCAAAGCTCAGATGTCTGACACATTGGCTTTATTCATACTTGCATATGTATCTGAAACAGTAACTGATCTTTAGGTAGTGTTTAGGTAATAAAACACTATATATTATAAAAGCTGAAAAGATATTATTCTCATAGGCTCGTGTAAGATGAATTTAAGATAGAATTCAGAATACCAGTGTTGCCTTACTCATTAGAAAAATGTCTACTTCATTTAAATTGAATAACGAGAAAGAGAAAAGCAGCTTTTACACAAGTATTTTACCTTCATATGGTTTTTTAGAGGATCCATGAGATTGAAATGAATATTGCACTTCGGACAAGCTCGTGGAAAAGGTCCTCCATTTTTAATGGTGCTTGATGCAGCATTTGTACCTGTAAAATTTAAAATATGTTTAAGATTCAGAATTCACAGAAGACTTTATTTATTATTATTTATTATTCTAGCAAAATATGCTATTTCAAATGAAAACTATTACAACTGCTGTAGCAAGGTTACAACCATCTTTTAACTATCCTTCCTTTTTTCCAAACTGAGTATGAGTTTGTTCTGATGGATATAGAACTATAAACAACTTCTACAAGATCTTAGCAACAAATAAGGAAAAAAAATAGGAAGGGGTGAAGGTAGCATGATAGAGACAAAGCATTAATTCTGTGCGCCACCACTCCCCTCCATCCCCCCCCCAACAGGACAGATTTTTGATGGTTTTAAGAACTTTAATTTTCAAATGAACATCTAAAACTTGTTTTATGCCATGACCCAATCATCATCACAATAGGGTTCAGATAACTGGTTTTGGAAAGGAATTTCACCATCTGATTCTCGATGAGAATATTTCTCTCTGGACAGTTGTTGGAACCTAGGCCTATTCAGATGCATCATTCCTGTTGAGCAAAGGTGTCTTTGGAGAACCTGGAGAATAAATCCTCTAAATAATCACTCCCAGTAATGAAAGGAAATAGTATTTCTCTTATCAACATAAAATGATCTTTTGAGCAAAACCAAAAAAGCTTTACATTAGCTTAAACTTCAATGAATAAACAGAGGCTTCCATTTTTTCCAAACTGCCAAAAAAAAAAAAAATATCAGTAAGAGCTACTTTTCCAGATGAAGTTCTCTTGCATTCTCAAGTCATTCACAGATCTGGAGGACTCCATGCTGACTAAGTAGTTTAGAAGAAGAGGTTAAACACAGGAAGAGTTTTAAGTAACATCTCAACTGTATCCTGCCAGGACTATGAAAAATTGTAATAAAAATAAGCACACAAATACATCCACCTTATAACAAGGGAATGAGTAAGTGTATGAGTTAAGAGATGACCATGCAACAGAGTTACACATTTTTTTTTCACAAAAATAGTCTTGCATAGTCCACGAGGTAGACATAAATCAAACGGTATTTTTCCTTGAAGATAACAGTATTGCTAAGAATCATTATTAAGCAGAAAGTCCTTCACATGAGTGGATGGCCATGCAAGAGATGTACCACAAAACAGTGCTGCAATTCTTCCCTGTGACAATTTGTAAAACATTTTGACATGTCACAGCAAAGTGCAAGCCAAATTGAAAGAAAACAGGTTCTGCAGCAAGATCTAGTGTTCTGCGGTGCTTCAGTGCTGGATTCTGTGACAGATTAGAAATCGCTATGCTAGCATGGGATGGCTTAGAGACAAACTCATAAAAATAAGCTTCTCAGTGAATATGATCTACTCCTTTGTTACTGCATTTAGTAATATCTTCCGGTTATCTTTTGTGTATTACAGGCTGCAGCACGGTATCTGTTTTACCCAACACTGGGAGGAGGAAAATTTTTTGCTGCAATGTTCCATATTATAGACACCTCTTTCTGGATGCTGGCGAAGAGCTTGATAGCAAACCAGCTGCAAACAAGACATGCAAAAAACCCAAATATGAAATGATTCCAAACAACAGAATTGCACTGTAGGTGGCTGCTCATTTTAACATTACAGCATAGAGTACGTGGTTGGAAATATCTCAAAGTCAAGAATAAATCCTCGTCTGTTACAATCACCTGGAAAGCACCTTTTGGCTCAGGAGGAAAATGCACATAATTATTAATATGCTGCAACAGCTAGATGACCTCTCTTCTTGTAGGGAGGGAAATGTCTTTCAAAGAACATAATCTCTTTGAAACTTAGATTCCTCTTCTCCTTTCCCACTACTATTTTAAACTGTATCAAAAACATGGCTGCAAAAGAAAGGGGGAAACTGCAAAACACACTTTGCAATGGTTAGTCAAAGTACAGAATCACAGAATAATTTAGGCTGGACCTATGGAGGTGTTTTAGTCCAACCTCCCACTCAAAGCAAGTCCAACTTTATCAGGATGCTCAGAGCCACGTCCAGTCAACTTCTTAATATCTCCAAGGATGGAAATTCTAAAACCTCAGTGCTTGCTGCCTTGCCTCACGTTCCTACAATGATTTTTTTCTTCCTTTTATCTAATCAGAATTAGTCGATAAACTCAGCAGTCACAGAATTCTTTCAATCTTGATTTTCTGGCTGGTTGTTTTTTAAAGTTTCAACTCTCTATTCAGTTCTCTGACACAAAAAATCTGAACTAAGAGTATGAGGTCAAGGGCATTTATTTTCATTATCACCACTAAACAACTTAACTAATCATTACTTTACAGAATTCAAACATACCTGCTAGACAACAAAGGTCTAGAATTTGTATAGGTAATAACCTAGCGTGTATTAATTCATAAAGGTATATAAATCCTTGCATAGAAAGGGTTTTCTTATTTTAGGGCATAAGAACACAGTTTACTTACTTACATTGCCTTAATAGCATTAATAATACCGATCAACTTAAACATCACAAGAGTGCTAGCTTTTTCCATGAAACAGATGCATGGATTGACAGCTAGACCATTTGATCTACCCTACCTTTTGAAGATACATTTTGTGATGGTGTTACTGTTGGAGAGTTAACTGTAGGTGAAACAGCTGAATTGCTTCCAGCACCAACCTCATTAGGCTTGGCCTTTTTTGGAGTTACACTGTTGCCTTCAGAAGTAGCAGGACGCTTAGATACAAAAACACTCTCATTCAGACCTACAGTGGTTTAAATTAAAGAACCTCAGTTTTTTTCCATAGTATATTATGAACACATCACTGATGCCTATACTTTAATGAGTGGACAAGGCTACATAAAGCAGTTAAGATTTCCCTAAAATAGTAAGCCATACAGAAGTTAAGAAAACAATATCCAACTCAGGCTGAATATTCTAAGCTAGTGGAGAAGGGTAAATGCAAAGAGGTACAGCCCATCCCTGAAACCCACTAAATCATACTATGACCACCTCAATTTATTTGCCCTACTTTTCACATCTTCACCCACACTAATCTGAGACAAGGTGAGTTCACAGTGGTTAAGTTAAGCTAAGCAACTGGTTTCTGCAATATCCACTATTTGGAACAACCTCTGCCCTTCTGATGAAAAACATCTCTGCTTTTTTCTGATCCTACATTAATGCTGGTTTAGTTTGTTATTTAACCCTCCAAAACATTTGAGAATTCAGTTTGCATGCAAAATGAAACCAGTACTGGAACTAATGACCAATCATAGCACACCTATTTGCTCTCTTTTGAAAGAACAGTTGATTAACTTGTTTGCATTGTTTCTTCTAAAAAAAGAAAATCGCTAAAAAATAACTCAAAAATTCAGAGGTTCAGTGCCTGATTAACATGCCCATCAATACTTGGCTCCATCTTGTCCTGAAACCCATGTCTCTGTCACTGGAAGATTACCCTTGACGGTATAATCTCAAGAGCACAGTTACACAGCAATAAGTCTGAAGTGCCAGCACAGGCCTTGTAAATCTCTCGCAATGACAGACTGCAAAGCACCTTCAGACTATGATCAACTATGACAAGGACCAGATTTTAGTTTCAGAAACAATGATCTGAACTAAGGACATTCTTGTATTTTCCCCTCCCAACAGTCTACTCCAATGATTTCTTTGGGTGTGAGAAACTGAATTCATATTTTTAAAAGTCTTCTCAACAAGCAGAGATAACTTGTGTCATGTAAAATTATTCAAACTTATTCTGAGAAGAAACAAAACAACCCCCTCCCACCCCCAAGTTGGGTTTACTCAGTGGTAACTATCTACACCTACCAGTCTCCACCGTCTCCGCATTCAATCCAGAGACAAAGAATCCCAGCAGGGAATGCTCGTATTTAAGCACCTTGGAGAACTTCCCACACTATGCCTCATATACAGGAAAACATAATTCACTTGTTATATACATATTTAATCATCCTAATGTTCTTTGTAGTACACCTTTCCTTCTTTCTGATATAAATGAACATATTAAGCTCAAACGTCTCACTCTATGCATTGTTTGTCTAAGGTAATTAACACATTCACAAAATAAACAGGTTACTCATTAGATACTACTACATCCTAGGGTTTTTTAATTTACTTGTACTGTTAGATATTATGAGCTGGTTACATTGACATATGCATCTCGATCAGCAAAGGCTTCCATACAGCTGGTATGACTTTAGCATTCTTCTGGATCACAGAGGCTATTCAAGCACAAGGCCATCAACCTGCAGCAGGAACTGCTGCTATATATTTAATTATGTGTAGTTGCGTAACAAGGGCCACGGAAAAGACCAAAGGTCTGACCAATTTTACAAGAATCTTCAGGAAAATATTTTATTTTACTGTAGAGAACCTGATTTGGAAAAAAGGACTATTTTGACATGTTAACAAAATTAGTATAATTTCAATTTAAAAAGCTTGACACATCTGTGACAAAACATTTGAAGACTATTTTCTATGTTCATAAAGGTGAGCAATCTTAACTCAGTTTATACAACTCTGATTAATAAATTCCCTCTTTCAGAAGAATTATAGTAATACTAGAAAAATATACATAGGTTTGCATTTGATTTCTGTGGCTTGTTAATTTTAAAAAAAATTAAAGCCTATTTTGAAAAATAATAAAACCAATTTCAAGCATTATTTAATATCTACCTGGTATAAATCAGACTGATTCCTCTTTTCATGAAAGTGCTTCTCAGCTGGAGCATGGACACAGGAATTCCTTGGATCCCCCATGTTCCAGACTAGACTGTCCAATCCTCTACCCAGCAGATCACACAGCCCAAACTGTCAGGGACTCCAGGCACTCGAGAGCAGAGAAAAGCAGCAGCCAAACAACTGTTGTTTGGTTTTCTGGCTGCTCAGGAGCCTATTACCTTCACTTCATGCTGTTAGTGAATACTGTTGTAAATATTTTGTAGCTATTATGAAACAGTTGGCTATACTCATACACACTATTATTTGTGTACAATACCTAAAATGATTGCAAGGAGGAGCAAAGTATACTCGATGCAGTATCACCTTGCCAATGGCTTTCTAAACACACATTGCAACACTGCTATAAAATCCTTAACACTTATGTGCACCTGTGCTTGCTGGGCCTGTTTTTATGAAGAGACATCAGAAACGGTAACCTAGAATAAAAGTATCAAATGTGCTGTGGTAACAGTCAGATCAAATTACCAGAATAGGGACTCTAGTGCACTGTCTCTCACCAACATCTCCCATTAATCTAGTGATATGAATGCATGTATACAGTCCGGTCAACTCCTAAATACCACAGAACAGTCATTCTACTGGTTATGGCATTTTCTGGTTCCTCCAAGTGGGTAAAGTTTGTGGGAGAATGATCCCAAAATATTCTCAAAAAGTAAACTACAGTTTTACGTACAGTGCCCATCCAACCTGCAGGTAAGAGTTATCAATGATGTTTAACTTAACACCACTGCCTTTGTAGCAACCTTACAAAATGGTTGGTTAGTGTCCATTAGCAGCTTGTCATTTCCCTGCTTAGACCTCAGAAATAAATATTTATGCTATATTGAGCTAAAAAATGTCTTTAGTGATCCACGTATAGAAGTTAAATTGTCCTGCATAGTATCACAGGCCAGTTCCTGAAAGGATTCTGCCTGTAAATTCAGTATTTCAGAATGTCTCGTGCCCAGTACCACACATGAAGCAGAGGAAGCATAGCACCAACACAGGCAAGTAGGCATCAGCACACACAAACAACATGAATGTAAGCGCATTATGTGACCTCACCATGCAAACCAAACCACAAAATACACAGATACTTCCTTGTTGTGAAGTGAAATGTATCTTAAATTTGCCTTTTCTGACAAAGGTATTCATGCTTCAACCCACAATTTTAAACCTTTTAGTTTTTAAATCCTACTACCATCTTACAGAAATTATAAATATAGACTAAGTATGGTATATTTAAGACACTTTGAATTACAATCCTTGACACTTTTAAGTATTTCATTTTTCTGGATAAGAGACTAATACAAATAAATTTTAAATATGCAAGCAAGTCTAAATTTAAAAAAAAAAAAAAAAAAAAAACGAAAAACCCCCCACCAAACAAAACCCAAACCCACAAACAATTAAACTTTAATACCTGTTCTTTGGAGAACAAGGGCTGGAATACTGAACCATTTGCAAGAAATAAAACCTTTTCTTACTTTACAAAAATCTATTTAACCCAGTAAGAGAAGAATAGTTGGACACATGCAAGGAAATACACTACCAACCCTTAACTGATAGGTATCTGGAGTGAATGCCTAAACTAGAGATGCAAAATCATCACATCAAGCAGAACAAACTATCAATCACTCTGTTCTACATAATTTTTTAGTATGACCGGTTAGGTCATTCATTTTACATAACCTGTTACCTCACAGAAGAATCAGAAGCAATTGTCATCTGTAAATTATAGGCTGAATGACAGGATTCTGGTCAGTTATTACAAAAGTGCAATCCTTCACAAAAGAGATGGGAAGTCCCAAGTTATAGCCTGTTTAAGATGGAATACAATGCATGCTTCAAATCTACTTCATCTGCTGTGACAAAAAAAACGTGCTTTTTTGTTTGTTTTTAAGTAGGTTAAGTAGTTTCTGCTGAAACACAATTTAGCTAGCTGAAAAAAACCAAAAAATTATTTGTCAAACTACGTATTCTTTCTCTTCCCCTCCTTTTCAGACAGGATCCTTTTGATCCTATCTACTCCAACTCCTATATATAAGCATCCAGGAAACCAAGACCATCATCACAGGGAATCCACTGAGCAGACTCAGGAAGTTCTTCTGGTGCTGTTCACATGCCCTCTCTTGCTAACAGCCATTCCTGTTCATGCTAGTCAAAGAGTGCTGGACATACTGAAAACGAGCCTTTATCACTCAAAAAAATTACAGTGGATCTGGCATTATTTTTCCATCTAAATGAGCATTATAAGAAGACATCAGTTGATATTACAGTCAGGCTAATGTGCTGAAAAGCAAAGTCTGACAATGCAAGGCTCCGAAGTTTATTTCATTAAACATCATATAGTGTTATGTACAGGGGGGAGAAAAAAGTAGCTATACTATGTTCTAGAAAGCCTATTTAAAGTTGTAACCCAAAGATCTGCACTATAGTTAAATGACATCAGGTTGTTTCTTTCTCTTATCAACTACTACAGTTATACCCACCTGTTACATTCACTGCTGTCCCAGTCTGGTACTGTGGAACTCCCGAGTTCTGTCTCACACCAAACAGTATACCAGATGTATTATCTGGTGCAGCTGGTGGAGAATCCATAATATAATCCTAATAAGATATTTTCAAGAGGGAAAAGAAATTTGAGGTTTAACATTTTTTTACTTGCAGGCTTCAAAGGGTTTACTTTAAAAACACGATTGCTTAAAAGTACTCATAAGTACTCAGCTGTAAATCAAGTTTATGACAATCTCCCCAAAATAGCTTCTTTTAACATTTTGATAAGTTTGCAACTCTTATCAGTGGTTGTTAATTCATTCATAGCTGTGTATCAGAAGAGTAATAATAACCTTAAGACCTGGGAAAGTCCATTTTATGAATTATTAAACCTGTTTGAATTGCTAATTGTAACTGCTTTTGTTCAAAAGTCTGATGAGGTTTCAAATCATACTTGAATTGTTTTTTAAAAAACTCTAATATTCTCTTCCTTCAATCCAAACTCAGTCATTTGCCTGTTTCTTTTGCATAACAGCTGCATTTTAAAAGACTGGAAAACAGAACTCAAAAGTAGAATGAACTTGCAGCATGCAGAAGCTTCTCAAAGCAAGATGATATTAAACCAATCAAAATCTGCTAAGTGGTCAAGCTTTAATGAAGTAAAAGTGTATCTATAGCATGTTGACTAGGAATGGCACTCAAATCTGTGATATCACTAAGGGTTTTTTTTCTTTTATGTAGAGTAATTTCAAAAGGGCTTCTGGAAATAATATAACCAAACCCTCTTTTCAAAGCACAGCTAACCTAAAAGTTGGTTCATGTTTCTCAGTGTCTTGCTGCATTAGATTTTGAGCATCTCTACAAGCAGGTATCCTCTTACCCTTCAGTTAAAAAGGTTTGCCCTTTAATACTACATATAACTTAAAAAATTAAATAGTCTACATTTCTTGGCTCCAACACTGAAACTGTTAAAACTAAACACCTTCACTGATCACTCAATAGGTAAAATTTGGAGGGAAAAGAAACATGAAGTTTAGTTCTCTTTACAGTTATTCAAGGTTGGAGGGTGAAGTAGAAGAAACACACTTTCCAAGATTCATCAATGCTCCTAACACAAACAAATCTGGACAATATGCTGAAATATTTTCAGCAATTAGCAATAGTAAGTTAAGAAAAGCCTTATAACAGAGTTAGGTTTAATTTCAACATTAAGGTATGAAGAGCAAAATATTGGCACTTGATCTTTCTATTCTGAAATAATTCAGTTGGTTACACTTCATCAAGCTGTACTGTAAAACAAAAAATTTGACAAAAGTAGCTTCATTTTCCTTAAAAAAAAAAAAAAAAGTCACCCAATACACATAGACAGACTTGGTCATCAGTGTATCCATGAGACAAAGGCCAAAATACTTTTTACTGTAAAGATCGATCAATCTCACAAAATGCTTCCTATTCACTATTGTGCTACTTATTTGAAAACATCCCTGTGGAGGTTACCACATTTTTAACTACCACCATGTTGACTAAACTTGATGGAAAGAAGTCTAAAGAAGTGCACAAGTACACATACAGGTATGATAATCTATTTTAGGACTCCTAAGTATCAGAAAAGATTTGAAGAAAAAGGAAGATGCTTCTCCTCATCCTGCCTTTTTGTTCTACACGTCAAATTAAGACCTTGCAGGACTTTAATAATAATGAAGAGCCATTCTTTCTTCTGGAGAGTGACCTAATCCAATCTAAACAAATTAAACATAAACGTTCAAGAGTAGTTGCCGAAATAGCTACTGTTCTATTTGTTATGAGTAACAGCCACATGAGCTGCAGTCACAACAGAGCAGGTGTTGCGGTAGCCACCATGGTTTCAGACTACCCAGCGAAATTACAAGCAAAGCAGCCTACCCTGCAAACCCCATGTCAAGCACAAGTAATGCTCAGGTGGCAAGCCTGTGGTAGGCTCCCACTATGAAGGACTATGCCCACCACCTACACCTGAAACGACCAATACAATAGCCGCACACAGAATCTGCTTATGTTTGTCTTTAAGTGCTGCTAACATTTTAACTTTCTTCAAAATATGGGTATTTTGATGCCATATGTACATCTCCCTAGTGTATACTAAACATATTGGCAAGTAAGAAAGTAAAAACAGACATCCTGAAAATTCAAAGTCTCAGTTTTCAAAATGTCCTTTTCTGTTTACAATTATTCCTTTCATGCACTTTGGCTCTGTCAAACATAAGAAAAAAACCAGTGTCTTCCCATGCTTTAGGATGCAAAAATGTTTTGAAGAAAAAAACCCCCAAGAAACCCAAAAAAATCCAGCTTTACCACATCAAGGGGGGGGCAGGGGGGAATCAAACTAACATGTACAGATGGCTCTCACATGCAGAAAGTCAAAACCCAACACCTTTATAAATTAAGTTCCTAGGGCTCAGGTGAAAAAAAGATGACCTACCACCACTCTTAGTTTTCCAAAAGACTAGTGAAAATACTGAGTTCATACTATACATCCTAGATTTCCTAACTGTAGAAACCAACATGATGACTGGTAAGTAAATCCCCACAGAGGAATTACAATGCATGGTATCAGATCTTTGCTCCCCCAAAATTAACTAGGAACAACTGGAACCTGAATCACACTCAGACTGAGGAAAGTACCTATTAAGTAGGGGAACGGTATGGACAAAATTGGCTGGGGCTTATTGGAGAGCATTCTGATGGCTGAATCGCTAAGAATAAATTTTTCCAGAAGAGGATAGATGCCATACACAACAGCAGTAGCTTTGACAGAATTAGAATTGCTGTAAACAGTACAACTGAAGCCAAATTCAACTAAGAATTTTTGGAACTGCATTAAGGTAGTACAGCAGCAAGAACACAAAAACTAGACTTTTACAGGAAGTCAATGTATCAAGCCTGTGATTAGAAAGGGGCATTTCAATGATAAAACCAGAACACCAAACATTGACAAAAGGTAAATTATAGACCTACATGTTATGAAATTGAGGAAATATGTGTTTCAACCAAGCTGGTGATCAGAAGGAATCAGTTCCCACAGAAAAAGCTTTTGACATCCTGAGATTAAAAAAAAAAATAAATAAATTGACCCCATTAAGAATGCAAAGGCACTCTGAAGGATGTTCAGCTAAAGGGGGGTCCTGACACAGTGTCCAGTCATACCTCACAGTCATCTTCACATCATAGTATATTAATTTCAAAGGTACGTTTCAACATCTGGAAGCTGAAGATCCAAATGTCAAACATTTCCCAGAAAAACTTATTTGAAGCCTTTGCAACTTAGGAAAATCAAGTTGGAAGGAAACAGAAAATGTGTGAACAAAAATGTCACAGAAAGCCCAGGGCAGAAAATCATCAATATAAAATAGAGGCCTCAAGTGAAATATGGACTAGATATGGGGGGGAGGGGAGGGAGGAGGGTGGGTATGATAAAAAAAAACCTAAGCAGCTCTTGAATCAAGACAATTCAAACCAAGGACATGAACCAAAATACAGGTAGTATACATATGACACTAAGAACAGCAAATGACATAATGTGGCAGGAGTGATATTAAAAGTCACAGAACTTTGCCCAAGCAGCTGAAGTACAGTACCTCACTAAAAAAAAAGAAAGCACACCAAACAAGCCTCTTCCCTCATAAAAATTATAACATAATCAGGTGGCCGAAACAATACAAACACAAGAAAACAAATTGTTCTAGATAAGGCTAAAATTGGAAATACAATCCTGAATCTAGAAAAGTTAAGTTGAATAGATGAAAGGTTCACTCCCATTATAGATTAAGCAAGGAAAAAAAACCCAGAAAAATCTTCCTAAAGGTAATTACAAATTTCTTAACATCCAAAGAACAGGATGTTACATTTAGGATAGCTTAAAAAAAATTAAAAGCTCATGAAAGCTATGATCAAAATGTTAACACAGTAAAGAAGCCATATAATGTATGATATCCCAGAACAGGATGCATTACTTGCTAAAGCATGTCAGTCTAACTTGGAATACACAGAACTGACTAATACATGGTTAGAGATCCTTTTCCATGCTGTGTACCTTGAAAGTCATATTTCAGGCTGCAACTTCTTCAAATAGGTGTTTCTCTACTCTGCCAGGGAAGAACAACCACCTGCAGATTTTGGCAAAATAAGACTATAAAACTAAACTAAATTATCATCTGTGACATTCCTGTTGAAAGTAAACTCAATGAATGAGAAAGAACTCTCACTAAAAGAAGGTCTCTGTGCAGAGTGTCTTTAGGACATCACTGTCTTGATGAGTTACACCCAGCTTACACATACCTTTTGGAGAAGTTCTGCTTTCCTACATCAGTTCACCCTAAGGTTTTCTAATAAAAACAATGTAGAAGCCACTAGCAGCTTCATCTATTAGAACAAAACCATGAGCATGTATGGGTGAAGGAAGTAAAGGAAGGGGCTTTCTTTTGCAGTAATGATTCTGCAAGACATCCTAGTACTCCTTTGAAGGATTTATTGAAGCACACCATGTCATAAGTAAACATTTACAAAAACAAAATTCACAGACTTGAAACATGTGTATACATTACGTGAAGTAGCAGAAGGTTCTGTATTAAACTGCCCTGCTTTGTAAAGACAGATTTAAGAGAACTCCAGAGGCAATCTAGATACCCTACCAATATCTGGACTTTTGATTATACTATTTTCTTAGGCCTTCTTAGATACAGCAACTGACTGATTTAGCTAACCTGCTTCACCAAACGTGCCCACAATTTCTCTCTGCAACCTATCAACTGCTGAAGACTCAAAATTGGAAAGTATGAGTTCTTTCCTAATGAATCTGCCACAGATAAACAATGATTCCACTACACTGTTTTTCTTAAAACACAACCCCCATTGACAATGGTTTAGCCACACATCTTAAGAACATCATCCAATTCTCATGTCCTAATGGCCTTATTAACCACATTCATTCAGACTGATACCCTGTTCAGCAAATGCAGCATACGTTAGGCTGCATTATTCTTATTTATACCAAAAGACTGACAACTGGGACAACTGCAGGTGTGTATTTTTGCATGGATGGTGGAGATGGTGCCTACTGTCAGGCTTCATTTTAACCTGACAATAGTAGCTAATATTATAGGCACATTGCCTAAACAGTTCCAGCTTAAATTATTTTCAATAAAGGTATCACATCATAGTTTACCTCATGCAAATATGAAATTTTAATCTTCATTCTCTCTCACAAATGTCCAACAGCTAAGGCAATAAAAACAGCATCTGACTTGACTCCCTGAAGTTATCACTCTGAGGTTCTGTGGCAGTCCAGGAAGATCTATGATGCATAGTCTCTGTGCATAATTCCCTTGCGCTTTTCAAACAAAACAAGTATGTTTCCGAATTGTTTCATCTACTGACCCTGCAACTTTCTGTTGCTTAAGTTCTCCTTACCATACTACTGTTTCACTACAACTGATGCATGAACCAAAAAGCAAAAGCACCTAAGGAGCTATCACTACAGCGTTCTTTTAAGAAGCGAAAATCCCAAGAGAGGCACTGTAAAAATCAGGCAGGAAAACCTTTAAACACCAGATTCCAGCTATTGAAAAATTAAATTAATTTATCAACACAGAGGATTCTTCTCTGAGAAATCTGCAAAATTTAGAGAATGAGAACTTCTATTGTTTCTTCACACAACTTAAACAGTACTGATTTCTCTTATGCCCAAGATTTTCATTTAATGTAATTCCTCTCTTACTAAAGCTATCATCTCTGAGTCTTGCAAATTGGTATTTTCAAATATGTATTTTAATTCACCAGTGCAAGGCTATGGTCCTAGACTCTTTACAGTTTACCTAATGCTAGTCTATAATCTAGTCCAGGTCTTCAAATTGCTAGACTGAGTCAATAAGTTCCTCATTAATTTAATTTATTCAAAATTAGGTGCACCTGAGTATTTTACAGTTTAAGGGAATAAAAATTTACCTGATTGAGTATTACAGGCTGTGCTGTTACAGTAGTCACTGGCCTGGATACAGGTTGAGCCACTACAGGAACCGTGGTATTTCTTGATACTGGCTGTGTCGTCACTGGAACGGTTACAGGTCTGCTAACAGGCTGTGATATTCCAGAACTTGACCCAGGCATCTGCTGTGTTGATAAACATCCAGAAACTGGTCTCTGCAGTGCTAGTGAAGTTCCTGAAACATTCACTGGTATAGACAATGGCTGAACTGCTACAGAGCTAGTTGTAGGTCTGGATACAGACTGAAACACTGATGAAACAGGCATGGCACCGGGGCTGGAGGCAGGTGTCGCATAATGGTGACTGTCAGGCTTGAATGTAGTAACTGTACCTGTTGCAAAGGATTCCAGAGTTATGTTTATATAATTTTGCAGTCAGATGTTTCATAAGTGTTGTGGATTTTTTTTGTTTTTAATTACCATATTAGGACAATAAAGTACCTCTACTGGGTGCACCATTCTGTATCCCCCTTCGTGATGAGCTGAGGTTGACTCTGTTCAATATATCTGTCAAAAGTTACATTTGTCTTAATTGCAGTTAAATTAATAGCTTAATTGCTTTTCAAATTAAAAGTAGCATTCATATCCACTAATTAAGCCAATTAGGATTTGACTTATAAGTTAGAATATTATTTCTAAAATAAATACGTGGCAAAACAAAGTGTCATTTGTACAAATTAAGGTATGTTCTTCTAGTCCTCTTCTATTACGTTAAGCTAGTTCACCTAAGAAACTCAAGTTTTTATTTTCTTGGAGATAGATTAACATACAAGTAAGAGTGCAAACAAAAAAAGAACATTTAATAAATATTTAGCTTTGCTGATTATAATGCATTTATTCACTTCTGTTTCACATATACATACCAAGTTCCTCAAATACTAGAACTGCTCTACACTAAAGGAAGCATTTTCTCTAAACCAGTAGCTACACAATTTGCTTCTGTATTACAGGAAAATACAGCACTTACAAACGTGGTTTTAGACTTCATGATCTCCATTTTTCAATGTGCAAGAAAAATCAACAGACCAGCAATCAAAGGAGGTGTGTTGGAATTGCATTACAAGAGGACTGATTTTCTTACATGGTAGTCTATGACCAGAATTCTAGTTCATCAGAAACACATGAATTTCTTAGATTTGGTGTTTACTCCCTAACTAATGCCACCAACATTCCACGACTTGTTATGTCTTAGTCTGGTGTTTCTGATCATTCCAGAATGTTACAAAAAATATTCATCAAATAAAACCATTTTTCTACCGCCAGATTCTCAATTCTATTAGTGTTGCTCTCAAGTTTCTTGCTCTGGCATGTGAAAATATGCATATGAAATTAGATTGATCCTCCAATATCTAACCAACAAGATTTAAAGTACCTTCTCAAACCAGGGTCAAATTACATCAGGATCTCAAAAAACAAAGTATGTACACATTGTGTGTAACAACCTTAAGGCTGTTTCCACCAGCAACAGCTCATTAGTGTACACTAGTCAGGTTGATAAATAAATCTAATTGTAGTAGAGCTCAGAAGATCACAGCTTTCAACCTGTCACCTGCATTTAGATAATACTAATAAAAAAGCAGCTGCAACCAACAGATCCAAACAGGTTTGCATTTTTTAAGATATGATGACATTTCATCCAGTAGTAGTAATACTATTTTTACTTCAATGCAACACTCTAAGAAAGGATTAACTTAATTCAGAATTTAGCTGAATACATACTTTGTGTTTATTAATAAATCTATACCTCACATTTGAATTCCAGAGTGAAATGAAACTAAAGCTTCAATCTACCTACCAAAAAAAAAACCAAACCAAACTATCTTAAAGGTTATGTCTCACAAAGCATACTCAGCTTCAGACAATCTGATGTGCACACAATTCACATCCTAAAATACAAAGGCAGATTTTACTGGTTTTAAAAAGAACATGTCAGGAAGCAAGTGATTTGAAATTATAAACTAGATTTATATGACTCAACTGATTCATCATAGACTTGATGTGCCCTTTCCCCTCTCCCATCAAAGCATCATTTGTCCTGTTTAGGTAAAACAGCACTGAAGTATAAGAAAGCTAACTTGCAGAACAACGTTTTAAAGTAGCAAGAAGTTACAGGTTTGTATCATTACGAAAATGAAGCAAGGAGCAGTAACTGTACAAAAAATGAGCAGTTGCAGGAAATGGTAGAGGGACCAAGTGTGAATTACTTTTCATCCCAGTCAAACTAATCCTCCAGTACGTCAGAAGAGGCACTTTACATGTACTGTGCCAGCAGGTCAAAGTTGGGTTTTTAAACTATTTCCTTCAAGTTTTCCACACCAGTCTGTATAAAAACTAATAAATGCATTGTCAGGAAAATGTTAAAAAAATTGCTGTGTATTGCAGAAATATACCTTTCAGAAAAATTAAGAACTACACGAGTCTCCATTTGTCATCTAATTTTTCATCTGGTCAGACAGGAATTTTCTCAGGTAAAAACCAAGCAACAGTGATGAGCGAAGTTGAGTTCACTGTGTCTTTCCTATCACCAATAACAAACTGAAGCCTGACCACTGCCAGGTAGTACTACTTACAAGCCAGAGAAGAACTGAGGTCATTCTTCCATAGCTGTTTTTGATAGTGAAGTAGAAGATTACAAAGAGAAAAGTTGAGGAAAGGGAAGGAAAAGACATAAAGTAAAAAGTTATACCATAAGTGATTTTACTTGTGTCAGGACCAAGTATGGACAGCACTAGAATAAGATGCATACATTCTAAGTCTCTATCTTTTACCAAAGTTCTTGAAGTTGCTGAATCATATCAAGATTACAGTTTTCACCTGAACTATTTCTATCCTTTATGAATAGAGAAAGGATCTTGAGAGTACAACAACTGCAATGAAACTTGGCATATTTATTGCTCCAACGTATGCCTGGTTCCTTAACAGTTAGCTGTTCTATGCCATGACCTACTGCCAGTGACCAAGAGCAATCCAGGGATCCCTGTACCTTCCAGAAAACAGTAAGGGTACTTTTCAGTCCTTCTAGAAGTTTGTAACTGCAGAAAACTTCTTAGATCAATTTTAAAATATTCTTCAAATTTTCAAGAGGATCTAGAAGATTTTTACAATATTCAAAAAGATTAACCCTTAAGAGCTATTTTCAAGTGAGAGAACTTTAACATCAGCTTCAATATTTCTTTAATATTTAAAATATAATTTTCCACTTTTTAAAGGTAGTGTAAGAAGCATTAGATTTACTATCCCAGTGAGTAACAAAATAAAATAGAGTTTAGATGCAAGATGAAAGTATTGTGAACTAAAATGACTGAACAGCTAATAATAGCTCCAATGTCCATGCAGCAGAATGTGACAGAGAGCCTAGTTTAACATTCTCTCTTGAGATTCTTCACTGCAAACTACACACCTTCAGAAAATGACTATGGAAATCGTGGATACCAGCATAGCAGAGATAAGCCGGAAACTGAAAGCAGTAAATATCACCAGGCAAAGTCTTGTGTATTCGATAGGTAGAGAAACCTTAGGTCAAAGCTCTTAACAATTGACTGCAAAATGGCCGCATACAGAAATCAAAGTTTCATTACTACAATTAATTTAAGTAACAAAAATAATGTTCTCCTTTACTTACCTGCTAAAGCCCAAGCACAGGACAAACATGGAATCCTGACACATCTGCTGTCATCACAACCACCTAACCTCATTCCCTGCACTGCCTGCATTAGGAGAAAACTATAGAACTTGATGAAAAAACCTCTTTATTTTACAGGGGGTGAATGAATTTTTCAATAAAAATCTCTTACTTAACAGAGACGCTTATACTATTTTCACATTAATCACTTTGCCTGATTGCTTTTATTATAGACACTTAAGACAGTTACCTTGGTTTTGTCACAATGATGTCCACCCCACTCAGACTGTCCACCAACTCATGAAATGTGGGGTGGAGTAAAAAAGAGGAACTGTAACGTGAAGACTTCAATTCATGCACATTACTGTAGTAGGGAGACACTTCCAAGTATCTAACTAAATATCAACTATATTAAAAGCAATCGCATGCATGGTTTCAGCATTGTATGCATTGGATTTTTAACCATATTATTAATGCTAAAACCTTCAAACATCCTTGTTTTCACTTCAGAGACTGAAAGTTAGAGGTAGACATAGCTGTGCAGAACCTGGGTTTTAGGACAGAATTTCTTAAGAATTCAAATTTTCAGTATGACAGCAAACTACACAACAGCTTTAAGATGCAGAATTTCTTAAGTCTTACTGTTAAAAAATTTGTATTTTCAAAGTGAGTTCAAAGTTTTACACCTTAAATACCTGTTTTAAATTACGGAAAATGTTATCTTACATGTACTAGCTGGCTTCGAGCTTGAGATTTCCCCAACAAAAATTGGCTCATCATCATCATCATCATCCTCTTCTACTTCTTTCACTCTCTTTTGCCATGGTTCTAGCTCCTCCTCTTCACATTCCATAAATAATTCTGCCATCTTGAGACTAGACAGTAAAAAACCAAAACACACATACCAAAACATTCAGTACTTTCACAAAACAAGTGTTTCACCATTCAGTAAAGATTACTGCACTTGACAATAATACTCATAGAACAGTCTTCCTTCCCCACCCCATTTCCCCCCGCCATGTTCTATACAGGTTGTACTTGATCTGATACAGAAAATCTTCAAAGATCAACATCTCATCACCTTTCTGATAATTACTTGAATTCTCATCTTTGCTATTAAAAATGATAAAACCCCAAAGATATCCTCCATATAATTTAAACTATTTATATATAATCCCCCAGGAACTGTCAGAGGAAGCCTCTGACGCAACAGTGAAAGCTATCTTTGAAAAAAGCACTCCTAATTCCAGGCAAGCGATTCACAACAAATGTGAAGAACCTACTATGACGCATGTAATATACCTGGCACAACTGGGTTACTGAAACACTAGTTACAGCTTTATTCTCTCTGTATCTAAAAAACCCAACCCAAACAAAACCCCACCCAAATCCACAACATACCACAGCTCCACAAAGTCTGTAAGATTTTGCCAAGGCTTCCCATATAGTCACATTTTTTTTAAAAACCCAAGAATACCAAACCAAAACAAAATTCCCCAAAACCCAAACAACAAAAAAACCCCAAACCACCCACAAAACCAACTCAAACAAAAAACCCACAACAACAACAAAACCCCCAAACCATATCCACAATACATTGCATAGTGTTTTCATTATCAGTTAAGACTTGATAAAATTTTTGCATAGATCTCATTAGACTGAATCCATCGTACTTGGAGACTTGCTCTTGCAGTAAGTTAAAAAAGTCATGTATGAAAATAGTAGTGAAAATACGTAGCTTTCAGAATTAACCAAATTACAATCAGCATCACCAATCACACTGGTTTTATTTGGGTTTTTTTGTTTTTTTAAATAAACAGCGATGGCTAATGAAGTTTTCCTTTCTTTTCACATCCTCTAACATAATCTTGAAAGTATTTCTGAACAATATAGGAAATAAGAAACTTTTATATTTCTTTACATACACTACCAATAATCTAATTTGTAATAAGACCAGTATGCCACAGGGCTGTCTCAGCAATAACCAGGATCAGGATCCCAATACAACAGTGCTTGCTTTGCCGGAGACATGGAGCTTCACAAAATTCAATTACTCCATTTTTTGGTAAATCGGAGGGGAAACAATACAGTTTTGCAGGAAGAACCCAATAGTAACTCTGGCCAATACAGGAATTCCTTGAAATTAATGAGCAGTTAAGCACATGAAATTCAATTCACCATTGGACTGCTTTGACAAAAAGTGAAGAATATTCAAACAACAGTTCCTTTACATGAAGGCCACAATCAATATAAGAATATTTCTAGTCTTATTACCAGGCCATTGCAAAAAAAAACATTACCAATACTTCTCTCATTCTTGTGCTGATGCAACACTAACCTGACAAAGCAAACTAGTTGAGGAAGCTTGACTTCCCACTACTATGTATTGATAGTTCTCTGACAGTTTAACTCCTAAACCTAATATCCAGGGCATCAGACCAGCACTAATGTATATGATGATGTCATTAAAGACTATCAAACCTTATACACAAGGTAACAAAATCAAGATTACATTAATAATCATAAGCTGGTATTTCTTAATCTAATTATCTTGTAAGATGAAGAGGGTGTTTATTCAACAAATTTTTCTGTATACTTTCCCATGATTGTCTCCTTTCCAAAATATTTCAAGAACAACATATACCTTAAACATTGGGTCAAGTCTCTTTTTTGAAAGTATAATTACGCAAAAGTAAGAATACCCCTCATTATCTATCAGCAGTGTTTGAAATGGAAGTCTTCAGCACATACACTGTGAGAAACTGTTTAATATCTAATGAAAGACAATTTCAGGATAGCAGTAATGAGCTGCTAGATTTGGTGATGGACTATAGAAATAATTAGTCTGTTAGCAGAATTCTAACAAGATACATGTGATAACCTCAGCTACACTATAATGCAGCTGATTTTTTTTTAATACAGTTAAAAGTCATTTGATAACATAAGCATGGAATTTTAGAAAGTTACACCAACTGGTAGCACCGCTTATGGACATTTCATGTTATGAACCAGGAGGTACATATTAAGATATTCTCAAAAGGTGACTCAAAATGTATGGAAGATTTTAAAAGGCAAGTATCAAATTATTTCAGATATTTTAACTTTTTTAAAAATTTATTTTAATGTTATGATTTGATGCCAAGCTTTCACTGATTATTTTTTTTTTCCTGGCAACAAAGCCAGTCTAATGAGTTCCTACCCGGCTCCCTCAGTTGTGCTAGTACTTTTCACAGGACTATGATATGAACCACTGCAGGTTAAAAATAACCTGTCCAGCTAACAGTTTTACCAGCACAACTGAGAGGTCAAAAAATCTGCGGCCTGAGCAATCAAAGTTCTAGTAAGGACAAATGGATTTGATTATAGAAGGTGTGCAGGAACTGCTCAAATGGTCTCCATTGCCAAAGGAAACATCTACATTCATTTTTAGAGTGTAACTAGCTTCCACGTTTTCAGTTCTTTAACTACTTTAATGCAGAAAATGCATTCCAGGAATCCTGCTAGTGGTTACTCTCAAAGCCAAAACCAACAGTGACCCCTTCCCCCACTCTCCCCAGATACGTCCCAGTGGAAGCGCAGATGCCAGTACAAGGCAAGCCTATTGACAATAGACTTTATTTTCCTCATTTTTAATATGTATAAACATATATACATATTCATAGACACATCTCCTTAAAGCTAGTCCATGCATCTGAGAGGTCCAAAACTCCAATGAAATGCTACATGTATATAATCAAAGAAAGTTCTTAAACCATTGTTCTAGGCTAAAAAGTGTCAAAATCATGAACAAGTTCTTTAGAACATTTCAAAAATATCGTTAGACTATATCAAGATATTGTTTTAAAAGGCAACCGCCCAGCAAAAACTAAAGCTAGTAATGAAAGTTCATTAGGCAGGCACAGATAATCAACAACCTGCAAAGACGCAAGTCCACGGAACACTATCATAGTTACTAGACAAGCAATGAACTAAAAACCTGATACAAGATTGAAAAAAAAAATTGAGCTCACTGCACAACAGAGCAATAAGTTTCTGATGGAATGTTTTTTAAAAGCACTAGTTTGGACAATCAGTGAATTATTCAAACATTATTTTTTCCTCCAGTTTAAGGGCTGTACTTCAAATGAACAGTGAAGTTATATTATTTACAACACAGACAGTGAGCACCCTCATTGCATTTTTCAGACGACTTCCCATACAGGCACATAACTTTGTGTCATGTTAGTTGTAGAAGAGAGTGCAATTGTATTTTTATTGCATGCTGCATTTGTTTCAGCGAAGACATGATAGCCAAGCTGAAACCGAACCTGAAAGTTTTAAAAAGCCAAAGTATAAGCCAACTTTCGTCAAAACCAAACTAAACCAGCCAACACTACCCTCTCTGCCATGAGGTAGTACAAGCTCCGCCTAGGGAAGGCCAATATTGCCTGTGCGAACAGTCAGAAGTTCACACCCCCGAGCTGCGATGGGTGCGAGGCCGCGGGAAGAAGCCCGGTCCCCGAGGAGAGCCGAGGCTACC